CTAGCTGTGGTCTGGGTTCATTAGGCAGATCAAGTATCGACTCTTGCCTTTAGCTGAGAAAAAACTATTAAGGCTTATTACATTTTGCTTTGTAGGTTTCCGTCTTTCATATTCTATTCTTCTCTTCAAGATATTATAAACTTATTATTTCCATTTACACAGTAAAAAGACAGATAACTGAAGATGAGTGTGATGTACGATACTTACGGATTATCCAGCTGTATACAAGATGATGTATGAAAGTATGGAGCCAATGCATTTAAACAACACTGACGTTTCTTAAGTAATTAGGAACTTATTAATGTATTTAAGTTTTTAGTCTGTTTGATTTACATACATCAACAGTTTTTAATTAGACATGCTTTAGAAGGGAAGGACTGTAATTATGACCTCTTTATTATAATTTTATAATATTTTCTGTTTTGCTATTTATGGAAAAATGCATGCAATGGACCATTGTTTTCACCAATGTATACATATACATACATATATATATATATATATATAGAGAGAGAGAGAGAGAGAGAGAGAGAGAGAGATAGTTTTCTTTATTAGTTGGTGTTAAATAAAAAAAAATGATTGATTAAATCATTATTAATGCAAGGTTCATAGAATGTATTCATGCATAAATTATAGCTTGCTACCAATTAAGTCCATTATTTAACACTTTATTGAAACGGAAATATCACTCAAAATTGCTTAATAATGTTTTATTAATATATTACTAGTAAATAAAGCCTCAATATTTGATTGATTAACCTATAGTAGCATTCTTATATATGAGTTTGCATTGGGATAGGCATTGTTAATCTCTTTATCCATATTCATAAAGGCTTATTAAGATCATCTAATAACACAAAAATAAGAAAATGTAAGAAAATGTAACAAGGAACTAAAACAGAAAACCTAAACTGAGAAACAGTGGGAAACAGGAACTGGGAACATGGAACCTTAGAACCATGAGAGTAGAGGAGCAGGAGACAAGGGGAGACTGAGACAATGGTCGTGTCCAAATTCATGGGCTG